CCAGGATAGCCACACCTCTAAAACCTCCTCAAACAGCACCATCATCTAGGGACAAAATGTCCAAATATTTGGAGCCTATGGGGGACATTTTCTTTCAAGCCACATTCCACCTCTTGGCCCCCACAGGCTCATGACCATATAAAATGCAAAATGCATTTAGTTCAATACTATCAAAAGTCCACAGTCCAAAGTAGACTCAGGTAAATATCTTAACTGTAAGCCTCTATAAAAATCAAAACACAAATTATATACTCCCATCATACAGTGGAATCGAATACACATTACCATTCCGAAAGAGAGGAATGGAGACATAGTAAGGAAATATCAGACCAAAACAAGACCGAAAAACCAGCAGGGCAAATACCAAATCCAGTATCTCCATGTCCAGCTTCTGGGACTTTACTTCCAAAGGGCTTAGGGGGCTCAGCCTCTTTAGCTTTGCTGTGTGCAACACATATCTCCCTTCTCTTGTGCTGGTACCACTCCCTGTGTGCAGGTCTTCTTGGCAGATGCCTCACAGCTCTGGCATCACGAACTTCTTGGGGTCTCCATTGCCAACCAGGCTTCACCTTCACAGCTTCACGAAATGGCCTGTCAGGGCCTTCTCTAGGCAGGGGCACTCCTGCTTTACGCTGCCTGGCCTCTGAAGCTTTCTAAAACCTCAGAGGAAGAATCGATGACCCCTTCACTGTTTCACCTTTTGTGCCTCTAAAGCCAGCACCAGGTGAGCAACACTGCTAAGCTTGACAGCAAGTTTGGGATGGACTCCAGCATGCCTTGTCCATTTTAGAAGCTTTTATCTTCAGTGGCCCATGCCACAAGTTGGAGTCTTAACTGGGTGTGGTCTTGCCCTGGAGGCACTCTCTCCATTGTTTAAGTTTGAATCTCTAGGCCCCTCCTTAATCACTTTAATCTCCTTAATCACTTTAATCTCCTCATCAATGGGATCCTCTCCATCACATGCCAGGGCTCCAACATTTATCTTACTAGTGCTCTTTTTCAATCCAAACTGTATTTCTTTCTGCCCCATTTGGTCTCTTTCACTGTAGATCTGCATAATATTCACCACCAATAGCCATGACACTGTTTCTACATTAGACGGTCTTGAAATTTCTTCCACCAAAGAAATTAGGCCATTACTTTTCAACTTAGCCTAAGGCAAGCTTTTTGGTCTAGGGCAGACTCCAGCCAGACTCTTTTCCAAAATATCCCAATTGCTGCTTAAGTCTTCATTTCCTTCTGGAAATACATTGTTCTCAGCACTGCTTTCTTCCAGGTGTTTAGTAGAAAGGCCTGTTAAGCTTTGCTTATAGCAATCAACCATTTTTTGTAGCCCAAACTTCCAAAGTCTTCCACATTCCTCCAAAACCACACATGGTCAGGTTCTTCACAATCAACACCCCACTCTTGGTACCAATTACTATATTAGTCACTTTTCTGTTGCTATGATAGAAACACTGACCCAAGAAATTTATAGAAGGAAGAATTTATTTGAGCTTATGGTTCCAAGGGAATTACAGTCTGTCTTGGCAGGGAGGCATGGTAGCAGAGGTGGCTGGAGAAGAGGAGCAGAAGCTAAGCTTTACATCTTCCAGCAGGCACAGGAAACAAGAGAGCGACTGGAGATCTGGCAAGAATTAAGAACTCTCTAAGCCCACCCCCAGTGATGTGCTTCCTCCAGGATAGCCACATCTTCTAAAACCTCCCCAAACAGTGCCATCATCTAGGGACAAACTGTCCAAATACTTGGAGCCTATGGGGGACATTTTCATTCAAACTACCACACAAGACTAGCAGAAAACTACTAATCTAAACACACATTGGATACTGAAAACACTTTCATCACTGGGAACACATCAGAGAATTAATAATTCCAATATAAAGTCAATAAAGACATAGTAATGCATATTTTCTATTATTGAACAATCCAGATTTTTTTCATTGTCTGTGCACTCAGTATTTCCATGCAGTGAATTGCCAATCATCAGGACGTGGCTTGGGAATAAACTACTACAAAGCTAGAGTGCATGTGGGGGAATGAGTAGGTTGGGCTGGAGAAAAAGTCACAATGACTTTGGTGATTGATTTCGTGCCATAGTTATAAATCCCTCTACACGATGACTGATGCTTCATCATCTTTTGATGTTGTCATTGTTTCTATTTTCTAACTTAATTTCTGAAATGTGATTTTGTGTATAATATGAGTAAAATAACCACTACTTTTGTTTCAACATTCCTGTATCTGAATTTCTGTATTTTTGACAGTCCTGTCACATTTTCTGCAGAAGTAGTTGTTTTACCTTCCTTGAGAAACTGAGCTAGGCCCTCCATGTCCCTGCCTTCTCTCCATTCCTCTTCAGCCAGATGAGAAGCATGTGTCATTAGACTCTGTGCCTTACCCTTCCCTCACACTGGGTCAGTAGTGGTCACCACACACTAAGAGCTTATTTAAAGGAGAACAGTTTAGCGTATGAAATTCCTGACACTGTAAGAAAGAAAATGACGGACAGAACTGATGATGCTTTATGATGCTTAACACTAATATGGTAGTTATTACTTTAAGGAACTATGTTGGAAACAACAAAAATTAACTCATTTATTCCTGGCAATCTTGAAGAGTCAGATTTCCCATTATTCCCTTTTTATAGATGAACAACTGAAGCAATGAAGGATGACAATGTCCAATACCACACATATCTTGTAAGTGGTAGAAACATAGTTTAAAGCAGACAGAATCTAGCTTCACGGTTCATTCTTTAGAGCATCTCTCCATCTGAAAAATTCAGTAAGAGTATCTAAGCTGACTTCGAATAGTTGAAGACCAGCAAAGTGGAAGAGGAAATAATCATGTTTGGTTTGCTCAGACAATGCTTCAGAAGGGTCCCAGGTGAAAAACTAAAAGGAAAAAGATTTGGCTTAATAAAACAAAGGAAATAAAGCTGTAGAGATGGCTCAGACGGGAGAGTGCTTGCCTTGCAAGCCGGAGGATGTCAGTTGAATCCCAGAACACACATTAAAAAAAATGTGCAGCATAGTAGCATACTCTGGTAATTCCAGTACTGGGGAGGCAGAGACAGATGGCTCCCTGGGGCTCACTGGCCAGCTAATTAGCAATCTCCAAGCCAACGAGACATTGTTCCGAAGGTAGATGGTGTTCCTGAGGATAACACCCAAGGTTGTCATCTGGCCTCCACACACAGGCACAGAAGTCTAGCTGCATTTACACATGTGCAACCATACACTCATGAACTTGAACATACTTGCACACACACACACACACACACACACACGCAAATAGATATGTTTTTTTTTTTTAAAAAAAAAGATTTGATTTAATAGACTCACTGGCTATCCTGATGCTGTTGGTGGTTTGATATTTTTTGGTGCTTCGGTTAACAATGTTGGCAATTAGAACACTGGTTGGGTTAGATAAATTCTTCCCTCTCCTGTTGGTGGTTTGATATTTTTTGGTGCTTCGGTTAACAATGTTGGCAATTAGAACACTGGTTGGGTTAGATAAATTCTTTCCCTCTCCTGAGATATAACAAGCCAGGCATGTATCACAATAACTGCATTGTTATCAACCTTCTTTATTTGAGGAGTTAGTTTATTGTGATAAAGTGTGGTGAAAATGGGCCTTTAAGTAAATTTATTGATATCATTATTGTAATCACTCTTTTTAACATATAGTTTTATTGATCTTTGTGCATATCATACAATAAATATTGATCATATTTAGGTCCCCTCCCCCATCTTCACCCCTCAGAGTCCCCCCTCCAGATTTCATGCATTCTGTCATATATGTTAAGGCCTATCAGTCAAGCTTTTGTACCCAGATATCCCTTGATGCAAGTTCACCTACTGGGGTCTAGTTGGCCTATCTAGGGTCACTCTCTTAAAAAAGATCTACTCTCCCTCACCCAACTATAATAGTAATAATAATAATGATAATGATAATAATAATATAAGTTGCCTATAGTTCTTTCACTAAGATTGGGGGCTGCTGCCCACTTCCCCAGTTCTATGCTGGGTGGGTGTTTTTTTGCCAGGGGAGAGTCTTTTTGAGACAGGTTTTCCCTGTAGCCCCAGCTGACCTCTCTATGTAGACCAGGCTGTCCTCGAACTCACAGAGATCAGCCTGCCTCTGCCTCCTGAGTCCTGGGATGAAGGCCTGTGCCACCACACCCAGCTATGCTGGGGTTTTGTCTAATTGAGTTCCCATGGTTCTGGTGCATGCAGTTACCATTGCTGCAAGTTCACATAAGCAAGTTCCAGAGGCCTGAAAGCCTGTGTTTCCTTATGTTCATGCACCAACTCTGGCTTTTACAGTCTTTCCTCACCCTCTTACACAATGTAAAAGTTTACTGTAATACATTTTGGCTCAAAGTTGCAGGACAGACTATTTTTAATGTTTTATTTCTTAAATTAACCAATTACATACTATAAATAAGACACAATGTGATGTGAAAATTTGAAATATATATACATTATAAAGCAGCTAAATTAAGCTAATAAATGGTCAGAATAGACTTTTTATCTGTCTTATGTAATTTGTAATTTAAAATGATTGAACAGTGCTGGAAAGATGGCTCGGTGGTTAAGAACACTTACTTTGTTTTACAGAGGACCCAGGTTCAGTTCCCAATGTCCAGATTAGGTGGCTCACAGTTGTAACTCCAGTTCAACGAGATCCAATGCTTTCGCCTCTACTGGCACCTACACACACGTGGTGCACATAAACTCATGCAGACACACATGTGGTACACATATACTCATGCAGACACACATATGGACATAAATTTAAAAACTTTAAAAATTATTAGAACAAGTTAAAATAATATAAAATTATATTAAATGATATTTTTCAGTTAAAATTTGTAGGGAATTGCTAAACATTACTTTTTCCTTTAAACTTGTTTTTAAAAAGCCAGGGACGCTGGTTTTTTTATGCCTTCTCTGATGCTCCCTTTGCTAACTCTCATGCCTTTTCATTCATTTAGGCAATTCTTATGCAAGAAGCTAAACGTGATTAAATGTGCAGGATGAAAAGATGGCACAGGCACTGCTGGTACCCCCGGGACCTGACAGCTTCCGCCTCTTCACTAGAGAATCTCTTGCTGCTATTGAAAAACGTGCTGCGGAAGAGAAAGCCAAGAAGCCCAAAAGAGAGCAAGACATTGATGATGAGAACAAACCAAAGCCAAACAGTGACCTGGAAGCTGGAAAGAACCTTCCATTTATCTATGGAGACATTCCTCCAGAGATGGTGTCAGAGCCCCTGGAGGACCTGGACCCTTACTACATCAGTAAGAAGGTGAGTGCTGATTTTCTGTCTCCAGTATGTTCTTAATTAGGCAAGTGAACTGTGAACTTCTGTACACGTGGCATTGTAATTTTCTCCTGTAAATGATTTTATAACACTTTACGGCCACACACCTTTAAGCCCAATGTAGCAAACAGAGAAAGATAAATCAGAAACAAAGACTTGGTTACAGGGAAGAATATGCATAAACAGTTTCTACTATTTCACAGTAACTGAGATAAATGGTGAAACTTCAAGTTGACTGCAAAGGTCAGTATCTGCTATTATTAACCCATTTAACCCCTTGATAGACAGCCACACTGTAACTATGTGGGGGAAAAGGTGGATGTTGTACTTCTTAATTAAAAAAAAAATTATGAGCCAGGCATGGCGGCACATGCCTTTGATCCCTTTTAAGCACTTGGGGGGCAGAGGCAGGCAGATCTTTGTGAGTTCAAGGCCAGCCTGGTTTACATCATGAGTTCCAGGCCAGCTGGGGCTACACAGAGACCTTGTCTCAAAAAAAGACAAAAAAATTATTATTATTTTTATTTTATGTGTATGAGTGTTTTGCCTGCACGTGTGTAAGTGTACCCATGTCATGCAATGCCCATGGAAGTCAGAAGATGGTTTCAGATCCCCTGGACTTGGAGTACAGATGGTTGTTAACAGACAAGTGGGTGCTAGGAATCAAACCTGGGCCCTCTGCAAGAGCAGTGAGTGCTCTTAACCACTGAGCCATCTCTCTAGCCCCAATACTTCTTATTTTTTTTTAAGCTCATTTTTGGCTTGAGATTTCTTCACAATCATTTGTGTTCTAGAGGACAGTAATCTATTTAGCTCCTCCTGTAGGCAGATAAAACACAGAGGCACGTTGACACAGACAGACATTTTTGGCTTTTATTTACCAACCTGGATCTGATTAGGAACTTCTCTTGGCCTTACTGAAATTGTGATAGGCTAAATTCTAGGCCATCTACAAGTAATGAAAACTTTACCTTAAGGAAGGAAATGCCAAGATTAGAAGACAAGCCAGGCATGGTGCACACGCCTTTAATCCCAGCACTTGGGAGGCAGAGGGAGGCAGATCTCTGAGTTCAAGGACAGCCTGGTCTACATAGTGAGTTCCAAGCCAGCTGGGACTACAAGGAGACCCTGTCTAAAAAGAAAACAAACAAAAAAAAAAAATTAGAAGACAAAACAATTGTAATAATAATAGCAATAATAATCTTTACCTATACCCAGTTTAGAGAAATCATTATGAGCATGTTTTTCTGACATTAAAATCATCACAGGGTTCTGTCAGAATTAGACAGTTTCTATAGTTGAAATAGCTATGTGAAATACACAGAATGTAAAAACAAAAGGATAATGTTATACTTTCTAACTTGAAATTTTGGCATCTTTTAATAGTAATTTGTACTCTACTTTCACAAACAAAAAACAGTTTATTGTGGGGCTGGAGAATTGACTCAGTGGTTAAGAGCACCGTCTGCTCTTTCAGAGCCCCCAGATGCAGTTCCCAGCCCCCACATGGTGGCTAACAACCATTCGCAACCCCAGTTGTAGGGGATCCAATGATCCTTTCTGATCTCCATGGGCACTGCAAGACATGGGTGTGCTTACACACATGTAGGCAATGAATTCACACACATAAAATAAAAATAATAAAGTATCTTTAAAAAAACAGTTCATTGCAGAAATTAAAAATAAATGAATATCACAGGGAGGTGATGGTTTATGGATAAAGGAAAACATAGAATACCTTTATAAATCAAAGAAGAACTTTTTAACAGCAATGGTGGAAGAAACTGCCTTCTTTAAACAATGTACAACTAAAGTTATAAGTTCTAGGACTAGAGAGATGGCTCAGTGGTTAAGAGCAGTGCTGCTCTGGCAGAGGACCCAAGTTTGGTTCCTGTTCCCAGCATCCACATGGCAGCCCACAACTCTCTGTAAATCTAATTCCAGGGTATCTGGCATCCTCTTCTTGCCTCTGTGGGCACTTATACACCCATGTACAGACACACACACATACAAAAAATAAAATAAATCTTTAAAAAATTGTGCCCTTCTAAACTAGTCTCCCAAAGGATAGCATTAGATATATATCATATTCTTCTAAACTAAATTTTAAGTTATTAACTATAGAAATTACCAAGAAAAGTTTGAAATTTAGATAATCTATTATGACAAATGATTGATACAATAAAATATTTTCCCAGAAACTGGAAAAATCTAATTTGAGAAATAATGACCTAAAATACACATGTGCAACTATGTATATTGGTCCATACTTGTAATCCCAGCCCTTGGGAGGCTGAGACAGAAGAATCATGAATTCAAGGTCAGTCTAGGCTACAAAGTGAGACACTGTCTCACCCCCACCCAAACAAAAACAAAAACAAAAACAAAAAACCCAATGTATATATTTTCAGAGGTTTTTGTTTGTTTGGTTTGTTTTTTGTTTTGGCATGATTAAAAATATTTGTTGCCTTAAAGAAAGGTTTGATATGACTACTAGAGGAGAAGGGGAGAAATGGAGATGCATCCAATGCAGAGAGATGTTTAGTAGCATGGATACATCTTCGTCCCAGGGGCAATGTCACCTCTTTATGGAAAGGATACCTTGGTCTCCAACAGATGATATTAAATTACTGCATCATTATATTAAGTCAGCTGTTTGTATTCCATGTTCAACAAGGAGCCTTCTGCTTATAATTTGTTTTCCCACAATTAACTGAAGGGGAAGAATATACGAGCTACATCACTATAACTATTTTAACACGCAAGAAAAGTAGTGTCATTGTAAATTGATTGGCATCTGATTTCATAGGTCAGGCTTTCAATTTTGGTGAATTTGAATCTACCACTAGAAAATAGAATTATTCTCTGTGTGCTGGCAAAGACAGGTCTTACTGACTCCAGGCCGAGAACCAGAGTTGGGCCATGATTCATTCACAGTTACCCTGAACAATTGGGAGAAACCTCTAGTCAGCCCCTTTACTTTGAAGGCCCTGCCTTTATTTATGAAGCATCTGTGAAGATGAGGAGTCAGATGCTACTTTTAATAGGTGGGTTGTGGGGCTGGAGAGATTGTACAGTGAACAAGAGCACTAACTGCTCTTGCAGGAACCCAAATTTGGTTCCTAGCACCTACATGGTAGCTAACAACCACTGTAACTCCAATTCCAGAGGATCCAACACTATCTTCTGACCTCCATGGGCATTGCATGATACGGGTACACTTACATACATGCAGGCAATACACTCACACATGAAATAGAAATCATATGTAAAAAAAATTAAAAAGTAGGCTTTGGTTCCTAAGAGTTAATGGAAGAAGCTAATGTATGAAGTCATAGAATTTTACAGTAGGGTGAAGCCATGTTGTTATATGACTAAGAAAGCAAAAGGTAATATAAAACCATGAAGCTTAATGTAACAGCTTGCTGCCATTAATTAGTGAGATATTTTAGTGCTTAACTTAATCAGATGAGTAATATCACAATATATTTTAATAGCATTTAAGTTGGCCAGGTTAACAGCTTAAAAATAGAGGCACGATAATAATAGCTAACATTTGTTGAGTTCACCCTGAGTTAGGAACTACTTGAGTCTCTATTTCACTTAATATCAATGAGCCAGTGGGGCACTTACTAGTGTTAGCCTCAGTTTACAGATGGGGAAGTCAAGTAAGAAGGATTCCTTAACTTACCAAAGTCACACTCCATAAGTGTTAGATCGGGGATTGTGTCTAGATAACCCAGCTTCACAGCCAGAGTGCTTGGAACACTGAGCAGATTATCTACAGTAGCTATTAACATAAAAATGTTTGTCAGAAACTGGTTGCATTGTTTCGAATGCAGCGGTTGATGTAGTTCTGCTCACTGAGATCTCAAGCTGCTGCTGCTTCCACATCCGTGAAAATTTTAGTGAACTTATGAGTATTTACCTGAAAAAATGTAAATAGCTTTCCAGAGAAGAAAACAATTGTTTTAGCAGACTTCCATCTTCAGCACTTAAAATATCCATAGCAACATGGATTAATATTTTTAAAGGTGCCTCACTACTTATCATTACTTAGAAACCTGACCTTAGAGCTGGCTGCTTATCTATTACCCAGGCATCACTCAAAATATCAGTGCCTCAGATTTCAAACATCTTCCTTGGAATTCTTTCACAACATAAAACAATAGTATTTTATTACTTGTTTCTCAGAATTCAAGATTTTCCTAAAGTTCAATGTGTTTTTAAGATCAGTCCTGTTCCAGAGCTATAACTATGGCAAACATGCACTGTGCAGGCAAGCTTTGGATCCACCAGCACACTCAGATTGACCATGAGGCTGGGCAGAGAGCTCCATGTATAAATGGACAGTTTATTCCTGCTCACTCTATTTTTAGAGGTATTTCAAAATAAAATCCTCTTCTAATGTTGCAAGTAGATTCTTTTTCAGGGAAATTGCTTTAAAGTGCCTGAGTTAATGCACTTTAATTTATCGTGAACTTTTACATGTTGTTGCTGCTCTTGATGCCTAAATGGATCTTGATTGTTTCACTATGAATTCGTGACAATCCGTTAATGTTTCTGTAGTTCAAGGACAGGCTTGCAAGGTTCAGTGTTACTTGTGGACAATCCTGATGTTAGTAGAGGATAGTTTATTTGTCCTCTTCCTGGAATTTATATAGCTCAGTTCATTGAAAATGGTTTGTTAAGTAATGATTGTTCCATGCTCTTAAATACTAAAGGACAACGAAGGGAGAGCTTTGTGGTCCCTGACCTTCATGCTCACAGTATAAACATTTCTGCCTACCTATTCAAACTGAGCATGTTGCCAGTGAACGTTGGGTTAGAGCCTTGGTTAAAGGGTAAAAGCATATGATTAAGTAAATCAATATATGCAGCAGATGTCATAAAGGTGAATAGCATCTTAAAGGCAAACCCATATTTAATTAAAACAAGTGTTTATTTGCAAACTGTGCTATTAAATACTGTGAGGGGAAATGGAGCCATAGACTGCTGGTTCTTTGTACTCAAACATTTATAAAAACACCTAACTTGATTCTTCCTGGGTTGAACACTGCCTGGAAATTGCTACTTGATGGTGATTACAAGAAACATGTGAAAGAGTGCAAATTAATATACCAAGACTTAGTGTAAGAGAAACAGCTAGGGAGTGATCAGAAGCAGTGTGAGTTATCTAGAAGGATGTAAGGGAGGAGGTCATTTGGGTAACTGAGAACAGAGAGCAGGTTTAAATAATCGTGACTGCCTATATGTTAGAAATAGCTGAGAAAAATATTTAGAGTACCCAAATATCTGCCCATACTTTTGATCAAATTGGTCTAGGTTGGGGTTTAAATACTAGCAAATTAAAAATCCTCCCAGAACATTCTAGCATGAGACATTTTAAGAGCTGCTTATTAAATAGAGGGTCAGCAGTTGGGACCATCTTGAGGCGGTTAGAGTGCCTCACAGTTGCAGTCTTTCTCTCTGATTCTATGACCCTGGTTGTCAGAGCCAGAGGGAAAGTCTGACAGGTTGTGAGTGGGACCAACAAGTGGATTAACTTGCTGGAGCAGAGATGACTCTGATGGTAAAAAATAAAAGATGATCCATCCTGAGGGACTTGGTAGGTAGCCATGGGTCCACATAGTTTGGATGCTAAGATGATGATTATAGATTTCAGAGCATAGAATTTTAACTATGGTATGGACTTTGAAGTCATGTGCTTAAGATTAATTTTCAACGCAGCTGTCCTTTGTCAGTATAAGCTACAAAGCAGATCCTTCTCAGCCAAGAAAATCAGCAAAATCAGGTCATTTAACCTGCTTAGATGCATTAAACCAACAGAACAACTACAGAGACAATAAAAGGCCACCACAAAATTAGGGTTAGAAGCTTTGATATGATTAAAATATTTATGAAGATTATTTTAGTAGCAATATGTACAGAATAACCTGAAAAGTTGAAAGCAGATGGCAAGCCTTAAATAGAAATCTGTGATGCTGCAGTATAACTTGATAAAAACTATGTAGGATTATCAGTTTGTGTCAATACATTGGAGATTTAGATGATAGTCAGTTGAATCTTTATGCGTAGTTGTATGTTTAGGGGAGAAACACAGCATGTGCATAGTAAACAACATACTGGTTATGATCCAACTGGTTTAAATGGAAAATTTTGAACAAACAAATAAGGAAAACGTTTTATGATGTGTGTTGTAAATGCTACAAATAACCCATGTGAAAAATTTGGTAATTTCTGTCTCCTATTTTCTCTTTCAGACTTTTGTAGTATTGAATAAAGGGAAGGCAATTTTCCGGTTCAGTGCCACCTCTGCCTTGTACATTTTAACCCCACTAAACCCCGTTAGGAAAATGGCTATTAAGATTTTGGTGCACTCATATCCTTTTCATGTGAATTGTCTGAATACCATTTCTAACAGCTAATTTTGAATAAAATGCCACTCTTATTTTTAAATCTTTAAAAAATTTCTTTGGACTGAATGATAACATTGGTAATTTAAATGATTTATTTCCGCTGGCCTTATGTTATTTATGACAAGTTTATCATAAATTATTATCATGATTTTAGAAGCAGATATGTAAATGATTCAAATGATTTAATGAATTCTAATAATTTAAACTGTGTGAACCCATGGCTATCTACCAAGCCCCTATATCACAGTTCTAGGCACATGATAGTAAATGAGTGAATGGATTGCATTGTGTAGCAGAAACGAGAGAAAATCCTCCTCACCCCTGATTATTCTCAACTGTCATGTATAACTGTTGCTGAAAAAAGCTTGTTTGCTATAGTGATATTTTACATATTGCCCAAAGCTCCAGTTTTTGAGTATTTAACTGGTCGTCTATCCTCAGCAAATTTTCCTCCTTCCTCTCCTTCCTCCCTTCATTCTTCCATCCTCTTCCTCCTCCCCTCTTTTCTGTCCCTGTTTTCTTCCTCCTTTTCTTTCTTTCCTTCAGTAAATATTCACTAAACATCTATATTCCTATGTGCCTAGCTAAAAATATATCAAAAAGTCATTAACCATGAAACTATTTATAGGTCAGGATGTGGTATAACACTAACCTAGCTTGCATGAGTTCCTGAGTTTGATTCCCAGCATGACACACATAATGAAATTATAATAGTGATAAAAGTACATGTGAGGAGAAAAAATATAGATTCCATAAATTTGAAGTAATGATAAAAAATTCTGAGACAGTGTCCAGTAGTGGACATTTTATATAGGCAAATTCAAAACAGGCTTATATTTAAAATAACAGATATTGACTTACAAATACAGTAAACAGGACTGGTAATCTTTGAAATACATTTGAATTACCTCATTCTGTGGTTTGATGTTAGAGAGTGTTTGTATTTTAAAATAAAGTATCTGTCACACAAACTTACTTGTAGTGAAATCTGTATTGAAATAGCAAGAAAAATCTCCTAGCAGACTATTCAAAAATACTACCCTTGACAACACAAAACAACATCTCCTTTTACTGTGTTGCAAACTATAGAGAAAAGAAATAAGTTACAGGGCTGGAGTGATGGCTTAGATGGAGAGTTTGTTTAGCAAACAGGGAAGGTTTTATTCATTGTTGTTAAGCTGAAAAAATTAATATTATTTTGCTCTGAACTTGATGTCTACCGCTTGCCACATCCCATTAAAATGCAGCTGAAGGGTCTGGAGAGGTGTAGAAATCTAGTTCCCAGGATCTGACAACCTGTCCAGCCTTTGTGGTCATTGCATGCATGTGGTGCACCTACATACACCCAGGTGATAGTCATACTCATTCATACATATAAAATAATTTTTTACGAAAAATAAGTTATATCACTACAAGGCTGCTGGAGTATCTATTTACAAGAGAATTCCCTATCCATATGATTTTTTAAATATATTGCACTGTTCTAAAGATTTTTATATTGCACTTATTAACCTTTCATAAGCCAGTGACAATTTTAAATTATACCTATACCCGATGTATAATTTTTATGCTCAGTCATACCTCAAACTTAAAAAAAAATGGTGAGTTCTTTTGTAGTACAATTTCAAGCAACTGGCTGGAATGCAGTTTGCATTTGCGTCGAATACAGACACCTTTCTTTTCAGTTTTATGAATATATGATGAAAAAGCTTTAAGAAATGGGCCAGATGATATGAGAGGCTTTGACATTCTCATTGTTTTTACCATTGTTTTAGTCCAATTAAGTAAGATTAATTTCAGTTAGCTATTTTGATGAAAATTTTGTATTGAATCATTTTTAAATAACTATAACAAATTGGCATGTATTCCTTAACCACAATCTACTCTATTCAGCATGCTTATCATGTGCACTATTTTGACCAACTGTGTATTTATGACCTTGAGTAATCCTCCTGATTGGACAAAGAATGTAGAGTAAGTAGGAATAACTTCTTGGAATGAAAAATGCACACTCAAATTCTCTAGCATCTCTTTGTGGTTATGGTCTGACTTACGCTTTCCACTTTTTGAAGTCAGGCTAAACACTTCTGTCTAAGAAAATGTTATTTCCATAATATGAGAGAAGATAAGGGAAGTTCTTTGGGGGAGTTTTTCTTCTATGAGGTAAGTATTTTTTCCAACAAGTTCATGATACTATCTGGTGAAAAGAGGCTATATATTAAAATATAACTACTAGTAAACTAAACCAATCCTTTAGATTAAAACTTGACTAAACCATAGTTGAGCATTTTAAGCACTTTAGATGTAAAACAATGATCATGGAGTAACAGACAAAGTAAGTTATTTCAATACATTTCTGGAATTGGTATATTACAATTATATAGATTTAGGTGTTTCATTTATATTATTATATCATCAAGCATTTTGCAAATATGTCATAGTAGGGTTTAAGATAAGTAATTTAGACATTTTAGATATCTAAGCCATGTTTAGATATGTAGGTTGTGTAGACAAATCAAGTATACTAAAATCTAGTAGATAAGCTCTGTAACAGAAAATGTGCTGTGAGGAGGATATGGCTCCTAAATTTGTCACCCATTGACTGCCAGGGTTGATTAGGCTGACCTCACTGGCTAGGCCTGCATCCCTTCCTCCCACACCACTCCATGCGCATCCTCCTGGAACTGAGCTCTGGGTTAAAGAGGACCACCTTTCCTGATAGAGGTGATAGAAGAGGACCATTCTTTGGATGAGGAGGTATAAGTCAGCACTCACCTGCTAGAACCTCCAAACAACTCTCAAAAAATATAATGTATGCTACAAAACTTCGATTAAAAAATGTAGCAGGGCTTAAAGGAAAATATACTCCAAATGCAAACCATTGCTAGGAAATTTCATAACCATAACACTAATAAAATTTCAATCATCAAAATAAAAATACTTGCCCAATTTTTCTGATATTTCCACCTAAAATCACAGATCTTGAGTCCCTAAAAGACTCATCCTTTCTCCTGAGAGATGAAGACTGCAGAGCATTGGTTTGATGTCATCAAAATGAAACACTTGGGTCAGGCGGTGGCACACACCTTTAATCCCAGAACTTGGGAGCTGAGGCAGGCAGATCTCTGAGATATCTAGGCCACCCTGGTCTACATAGTAAGTTCCAGGCCAGCTGGAGCTACAGGGAGACCTGTCACAAGTTAGTTAATTAATTAACTAAACCATTTAATTTGGTATTTCAGCCCAGGGAAATAGGTCTAAACAGTACATTTTAAAGGCTCTAACCTAGCCCCTGCTTATACTAAAAGCAAGCAAGCAAAAAGCCCGCTTCTCTCGATTTTCTGTTATTGTCTTCTTTCTTGTTCCAAGATATTTTCTACTTAAGCATCAGAGAAATGCCCTTTGTTCTAATGCTTTAATGTGCTGAGGACAATCATGCATGAACTGACAATGCTATGTCACATCATGCTCTTGTCAGTCACAGATGGTGCTATTTATAGAGAACACATATGCATTTGACTAAAGCAAGAAGTGTTTAGATCACGTAGATTATTTACACATAGCTCACAGTCAAGTTTGTGATTGATTAAATAAAATTTTTAACATACTCTTTGATCCTGTATTTTTAGAGCAATGTCCAAACAAATGGCGTGCATTTTTATTGCTAGCCACATTCATAGATTACCATCAGGTTTTACTGCAGACTTCTATGCCATTATTTGTCAATGATTTACTATCTTAGCTGAAGATCTTTTAGAATAGGAGTTTGAAAATGCTCTCTAGATGTCATTGTAAAGGTGGATCCGATTCTTAGGTTGCAGCTTTTAAACTGAGCTCCCAGGTACAACTTCAGATTTACACTTAGCACAAGGGAAACACTTGTATAAAACTATTCTGTATGAATTTTTTTTCAAAAAGAATTATTGAAACATTTAGACATGCTATAAATTTTATTTAAATTTAATCATATAAATATTAAAAGGTAAAGGGGACATTTAACTATATATTGCCTCTTTTTAAAGGAACAGTAGTAACTTTGAGATGTTATACCCATTATTAAAATAGTCAGTGCTACAAGAGTTTTTGACTCATATTTTTCAGTTAGAAAATTTTGTA